CACCTGGACTGAAATGCTTGGGTTTGAGGGAGCTGCACTGAATTCCTCAGAGGCCTGGGGTGGATAGAGAGATGTAGGATGGATGAAGGAAGGAAGGAAGGAAAGAAGGAAGGAAGGTGAAGAGGAAGAGGAAGAGAGGGAAGGAGGGAGGGAGGAAGGAAGGAAGGAGAAGAGGAAGAGAGGAAGAAAAAGGAAGGAAGGAAGGAAGGTGGAAAAGAGGGAAAGATAAGGAGGGAGGGAGGGAGGGAGGAAGGAGAGGGGAACAGGAAGAAAGGAAAAGAGAAAAGAAAGAGGGAGGGAGGGAAAATGGAAGGAAGGAAGGAAAAGAGAAAGGAAGGAAGGTGAAGAGGAAGAGAGGGAAGGAGGGTGGAAGGAAAGAGGAAGAGAGTAAAAGAAAGGAAGGAAGGAGAAGAGGAAGAGGAGAAGAGGGAGGGAGGAAGGGACAGACAAAGGGAGGGAGGAAGGAAGGAAGGAGAAGGGAAGAGGAAGAAAGGGTAGGAGAAAGGAAAGAAGGTGAAGAGGAAGAGAGGGAAAGAGGGAGGGAAGGAGGGTGGAAGGAAGGAGGAAGAGAGTAAGAGAAAGGAAGGAAGGAAGGAGAAGAGGAAGAGGAAAAGAGGGAGGGAGGGAAGGAGGAAGGGACAGACAAAGGGAGGGAGGGAGGAAGGAGAAGGGAACAGGAAGAAAGGTAAGAGAAAAGGAAGAGGGATGGAGGAAGGGAGGGAGGGAAAATGGAAGAAAGGAGAAGGGGAACAGGAAGAAAGGGTAAGAGAAAGGAAGGAAGGTGAAGAGAAAGATAGAGAAAGAGGGAGGGTGGAAGGAAGGAAGGAGAACAGGAAGAGAGTAAGATAAAGGAAGGAAGGAAGGAGAAGAGGAAAAGGAAAAGAGGGAGGGAGGAAGGAGAGGGGAACAGGAAGAAAAGGTAAGAGAAAAGGAAGAGGGAGGGAGGAAGGAAAAATGGAAGGAAGGAAGGAAAGAAGAAAAAAGGAAGGAAGGAAGGAGAAAGGGAACAGGAAGAAAGGGTAAGAAAGGAAGGAAGGTGAAGAGGAAGAGAGAAAGAGGGAGGGAGGGAGGGTGGAAGGAAGGAAGGAGAACAGGAAGAGAGCAAGAGAAAGGAAGGAAGGAGAACAGGAAGAGAAAAAGAGTGAGGGAGGAAGGGAGGAAGGGAAAGACAAAGGGAGGGAAGGAGGAAGGAGAGGGGAACAGTAAGAAAGGGTAAGAGAAAAGGGAGGGAGAAAGGAAAAATGGAAGGAAAGAAGGAAAGAAGAAAAAAGGAAGAAAGGAAGGAAGGAGAAGGAGAACAGGAAGAAAGGGTAAGAGAAAGAAAGGAGGAGAAAGAGGGAGCGAGGGAGGACAGAGGGAAGGAGAGGTTGACGATGCAGACCACAAGTGAGACAGATAACGAGCACCAAATCAATTAACAAGCTGTAATGTGTGAAAGACCTGCTGCTTTAGGGAAGACTCTCTGAGATAGTGTCAAATTAGGGCTGTTTTTAATTTCTAGCTGAGAAGTCGCCAAGGTGCATTTCTCCGGGGTGCGAAAGGGATCTAGCTTCCCTCCAAAACAAAGGGCTCAAGATCTGGGGTGCTAATTCCAGAGTTCCCCAATTAGAAAAGCAACTCCAGAATCAGAGAGGGTCCCCCCCCCCCCAGGATGGCCAGGACCTTGGGGGAAAAAAACAACAACCACCATCCTTCCTCCAACTTGGTGGGATTTGCAAAAAGGATTGGATTCAGTAAGGCAGCGCTAATAGACCAAACCTCCCATTTCTCCAACCCTGGAAAGCGAATACAACCCAGAGTGCCGATATACAATGGGATTTAAAATCGCTCAATTTAGTCGCCACGAAGGAGTGCATTAGACCAGGGGGGAAAAAATTCCACTTAATAGGAGGACATTTTCCTGAAATGATATTGAGGAGCAATCACTGCCAAACCGCCCGGGGGTGTTTTTCATAGCCCCGGGAACGGCTTCTTTGCGCTAACCTTTCCTTTCGTTCGTTTTCACTTGATTCTTTTGTTCGTATTAATGACACCTTGTCTGTCAATTAAAAGGAGGAGGAAGAGAGGACGGCGAAACTTGGCAGAAGGCGTTAAGGGACAGGGATTCAGGGCTGACACGGCACCGAAAAGCGAATAAAAGTTTCAAGATTAATAAAAGGGGGGGGGACGAGTTTTAAAAGATGCAAATGTCTCTTGTTCGCTTCTACTAATTCCTTTCGCCGTCCTATGCCCGGATATTCCCTTCTGTAGGATGAAATAGTAGAATAGAACAGAGCTGGAAGGGATCTTGGAGGTCTTCTAGTCCAGCCCCCTGCTCAGGCAGGAGAACCTATACCAGAGGTAGGCAACCTTGGCTCTTTTATCACTCGTGGACTTCAACTCCCAGAATTCCTGAGCCAGCCATGCTGAGGGGAAAGGGAGAGGTTTCCAAACTGAGCCATGCTGACTCAGGAATTCTGGGAGTTGAAGTCTGCAAGTCATGAAGGGGCCATAGTTCCCCCATGCTGGCTCAGGAATTCTGGGAGTTGAAGTCCACCAGTCATAAAAGAGCCAGGTTGCCTACCCCTGACCTACACTATCTCAGACAGGTGACTGTCCAGTCTCTTCTTAAAAACCTCCAGTGATGGAGCGCCCACAATTTCTGGTGGCAAGCTGTTCCACTGGTTAATTGTCCTCACTGTTAGGAAGCTTCTTCTTAATTCCAGGTTGCTTCTTTCCTTGATTAGTTCAATCAATCAATCAATCAATCAATCAATCAGTATAAAGCTGGAAGGGACCTTAGAGATCATCTAATCCAACCCCCTGTTCAGGCAGGAAACCCTATAGCAGTGATGGCGAACCTTTTAGAGACCGAGTGCCCAAACTACAGCCCCAAACCCACTTATGCATCATTGAGTGCCGGATGGGCGTGACCCATTGGGTAGGTGTGGCCCATTGGGTGGGTGTGGCCCATTGGATGGGCGTGGCTGCAGTGGTAACAGAAGACTGGGTGGGACTAAAAAGTTCAATCAATCAATTCCAACTTTGCAAGATCTTTTTTTTCCCCACGAGAAGCTGAAATTGATTGATTGATTGAACCTTTTTTTTCCATACGGCAGCGGAGGCCTAAAGCGAAAAGGTTTTATAAAACCCAGCTGAAGGCCTAGGACTGGGGCGATGGCACGTGTGTTCACAGAGAGGGCTCTGCATGCCAACGTGGCACGCGTGCCATAGGTTCGCCAGCACAGCCCTATACCATCTCAGACAAGTGACAGCCCAGCGTCTTCTTAAAAACCTCCAGTGTTGGAGCACTCGCAACTTCTGGTGGCAAGCAGTTCCACTGGTTAATTGTCCTCACTGTCAGGCAGTTTCTCCTTAATTCCAGGTTGCTGGATGAATGAAGCTGGATCGCTCAGGTTCAAAAGAGCCACAAAACTGGCATAGCGAGGAGGCCTTGGACTTGACCCATTTTTCCCAGCGGTGAGAAAACTTCTCTTCTGCATCTGGATCGCCAATACAGATAGTCCTTGACTTACATTTGTTCGTTTAGTGACCGTTTGAAGGGACCACAGCTCCGAAACAAAGATGACTTCTTGTTTTTCTCATGACTATATAGACTGCATCCCCAGGATCACGTGATCAAAATTCGCCCGCTTGGCAACTGACTCGACGGTGGCCGTGTCCCCGGGAATCACGCGATCCACTTTTGTGACCTTCTGATAAGCAAAGTCAAGGGGAAAACCGGATTCGCTTAACGACCGCGTGTCTAATTTAACATTGGCAGGGATTCACTTAACAAATGCGGCAAGAAAGGTTGCACAATGAGGCAAAACTCACTTTAACAACGGTGACCCAACTTTGGGGCTCGGTTGCATTTGGCATTTGGGAGCGCCACAATCCACTAACTGAATCCAGGCCTTCTCCAAAGGGACTGAAGCTTGACCACCCAAGCCATTTTAAATCAGAGAATCCTACAGCTGGGAAGTAGAGGTCGTCTTTGAGGTCATGTAGTCTAACCCCCCCAACTCACAGCAGGACCCAACAACGTACCTCTGTCCCAAATCTGCTAAGAAAGGAAAACTCCTCATGATGTGTGACTGTTCCACCGGTATTTCTCAATTTTATTAGCTTTGAGATGCGTGGTTCCAGAATTCCCCAGTCAGCCATGCTGGCTGGGGAATTCTGGGAGTTGAAGTCCACGCATCTCAAAGCTAAGATGGAGAAACACCCTGTCAATGTTTTTGACAACCATTTTCTTCTTATGTTTTACTTTTAGAGTTAAGAGCTAGAGTTAGATGATGCTGGGGGGAGGAATGTGCACAAGAGTTTAGCTAGACATAACAATACTGGACCTAGCGTGAGAATCAAGGTTAATGAAATAAGAGATGATAAGAATTGGCAGGCTGGAGAACTGAAGGGAAAGCCTGCATTTCAAACTAATTGGAGAATGTGATTTACAACTGCTAATTGGAGGAGGGAATTGTGCTTTGATACTATGTGCTCAGGGGAGGGGAATCCAGATTTTGGCTTCCATTGTGTTAGTGCCTATGTGTTGCTATTCAGATAAAGATTCTTTAAGGTAAACAATGCCTTGAAGTTCTTTGAAGAGTTTCATCTGTCGGAACCAGGACACACCCGTTCATACAATCAGTCATTTCTTTCCTCTTTGCAATTTTAGCCCATTCATCCTCTTCCCAATCTGGCTTTCCAGATTTTCAGGGTCTTCCTGGATCAGGGGTCTTCAAACTTGCCCTTTCATGACTTGCGGACTTCAACTCCCAGAATTCCTCAGCCACTGAGGAATTCTGGGAGTTGAAGTCCACAAGTCATAAAAGGGCCAAGATTGCCTACCCCTGGCCTAGATGTTTGGTTTCAACCATCACTCAGTAGACCATGAGTCCTTGCTCGTCACCTGAAAGCCATCTAGAGATCCGCCAGCGGATCCTCGCCTACTTACATCGACCCAGATAGTTGCAGGTTTCCTACATCCCTCCTTTCTTCCTTCTTTGCAGCCAACGTACCTGAAGTTTGGGGCAGAGGCCCACTCCAGCGCCAGGCAGGCCAAATCCACCGTAGCGTAAACCAGGAGGAAGAAGATGGTGACCACCGCAGCGATGGTGTTCAGCTTCCCGGAAAACAGCACCAGCTGTGGGGAAAGCAGACCACAGGAATCAGGAAGCATGGCAGCCAACCACAGGGCGTCAGCCCCGCCCCCTTTCTTGGGCCACATCCCCAGAATCCCCCCAGTCAGCAGGCGGGATTCTGGGAGTTAAAACTCCATTCTTCTTCTTCTTCTTCTTCTTCTTCTTCTTCTTCTTCTTCTTCTTCTTCTTCTTCTTCTTCTTCTTCTTCTTCTTCTTCCTTCTTCTTCTTCTTCTTCTTCTTCTTCTTCTTCTTCTTCTTCTTCTCCTTCTCCTTCTCCTTCTCCTTCTCCTTCTCCTTCTCCTTCTCCTTCTTCTTCTTCATCATCATCATCATCATCATCATCATCATCATCATTATTATGAATTGTTCCCACTGTCAGAAATTTTCTCCTTATATCTAGGTTGGATCCAAACTCCCTCGCATATTGAGGTGCTGTGCTTCTCCAAGGAACTTGCAGGAGACCCAGGTTAAGCTAGCCACACGGTCGTTAAGTGAATCTGGCTCCCCCATTGCTGGTCAGAAGATCGCAAAAGGGGGAAATCGCGTGACCCCGGGACGCTGCAACTCTCGTAAATACGAGCCAAGCGTTGTGAATTTTGATCACACGACACTAGGGAGGCGGCAACGGTCGTTAAGTGTGAAAAATGAGCATACGTCACTTTGGGAGTGTCGTTGTAACTTTGAATGGTCATTAAATGGACTGTTGTGGAGTCCAGGACGACCTGTATTTCACTAGCCCAGTGGTGGCAAACCTGTGGCACACGTGCCAGAGGCGGCACTCAGAGCCCTCTCTCTCTCTGTTGATGCAGCCTAGGATTGTGTTGGCCTTTTTGGCAGCTGCAGCACACGGCTGGCTCCTGTTTAAGGGATTGTCCACTAGGACTCCGAGGTCCCTCTCACAGTTACTACTATTGGGCAAGGTACCCCCTATACCAGGGGTAGGCAACCTTGGCTCTTTTATGACTCGTGGACTTCAACTCCCAGAATTCCTGAGTCAGCACGGCTCAGCTTGGAAACCTCTCCCTTTCCCCTCAACGTGGCTGGCTCAGGAATTCTGGGAGTTGAAGTCCACGAGTCATAAAAGAGCCAAGGTTGCCTACCCCTGCCCAAATGCCTGAATTTTGATCACGTGACCATGAGGAAAAAATATTTAAATATTAAACCAGGGGTCTTCAAACGTGGCCCTTTTATGACTGGTGGACTTCAACTCCCAGAATTCCTGAGCCAGCATGGAAGAACTATGGCCCCCTTATGGCTTGTGGACTTGAACTCCCAGAATTCCAGAGCCAGCATGGCTCAGCTTGGAAACCTCTCCTTGTCCCCTCAACGTGGCTGGCTCAGGAATTCTGGGAGATGAAGTCCACGAGTCATAGAAGAGCCAAGGTTGCCTACCCCTGCACTATACTATACCTGTACATTTGGTTTTTCTTGCCTAAATGTAGAACCTTACTTGTTTCACCACTGAATTTCATTTTGTTAGATAGTGCCCAGTGTTCAAGTCTGTCCAGATCCTCCTGTATCTTAAGCCTGTCTTCTGGAGGGTTGGCTGTTCCTGCCAGCTTTCTGCACTAGCCTCTTCCTCCCCTTACCACGCAGTTTCCTTCTGACGAGCTTTTCTTTAAAACGGAGAACCCCCGGGGGGTTAATAAAAGGGCAGGGAGTGAGACAGAAAACTAAAAATCAAAAGCCGTTCCCAACTCTTATCAGCCAATAGTTTTATGCCCATTTCAAAAACAGGTTCTGTTCAATCAAAATGCAAAAAAACCCGATAATGATGGCAACAAAGAATAAAGAAAACATTTTGCTTGGTTGAGCATTGATCCAGTTTTGCTCTATCGGGTGTTATTTAGCTTTTTTTTTTTTTTTTAAAACAACCCAACAACAACTAAGAATCTAAATGACGTGTCTTATTTTAATTACTATTTTATGAACACGCTCTAGCTCAAAAATGCATTTAGATATAGATATATACTTTGAACGGAAAACTTTGTCATTCTGGTAATGGTGCTTTTTTGGGAAAATAAACAGATAACTACTTTCTCCTCTGTATTTTAGTATTTGGGAGTTGTTTGATCTATTACATCTATATATGCTAAATGCATCACAAATAATGCCACAGTTTTCTTTGAACCATAGCTTTTTCAACAAGCTGCAATCAGTCGGACCTGCAGTTTACCCAAACCATGGTTTACACACCACCCTGGCTGATTTCTTGAGGTATGCTAAACAAATCCAGAGACAGAATATTATAATTCAGCCCATAAATTCATCAAAAGCATACTTAACTCCAAAAAAGACTCCAGTGTGGTGTAGTGGTTAGAGTACTGGACCAGGAATGGATTGGTTTAAATCCCAATTCTGCCCTACAAATGAATGACTGTGAGCTCAATCAAAGCCTACCTCAAAAGGTTGTTGTTTGGAGTAAAATGCCACGCTGACATTCAAGAGCAGATGTCTTCAAACTTGGCCCTTTTATGACTTGTGGACTTCAGCTCCCAGAATTCCTCACTGGCTGAGGAATTCTGGGAGTTGAAGTCCACCAGTCATCAAAGGGCCAAGTTTGAAGACTCCTGTCTTAAATCTAACAAACAAAATGGAGGCTGGCTGAGGAATTCTGGGAGTTGAAGTCCACCAGTCATCAAAGGGCCAAGTTTGAAGACCCCTGTCTTAAATCTAACAAACAAAATGGAGGCTGGCTGAGGAATTCTGGGAGTTGAAGTCCACAAGTGTTAAAGTTGCCAGATTTGGGGTCCCCTGTTCAAGAGGAAAGGCAGACTCTAAAACTCTAAAATGTAGGCCCTCTTGACAAGAGTTTGGAATTGTTTCTCCTTCTTCCTAGGGCTGAGAGGCAGAGAGAGAGAGAGAGGGACGGACCCAAAGTCGCCCTGCTGAATTTCTGCCTAGGGTAGAACTCGAACTCAGGATCTCCTGTTTTCAAGCCAGGTGCCTTAACTACCACACCAAATTGGCTCTCATTAACGCTAATAAGAAATATCAACAACCTAAGATATGCAGATGATACCACTCTAATGGCAGAAAGTGAAGAGGAACTAAAGAGCCTCTTGATGCGGGTGAAGAAGGAGAGCGCAAAAGTTGGCTTGAAACTAATCATTAAGAAAACCAAAATCATAGCATCCGGCCCTCTCAATTCCTGGCAAATAGATGGGAAAGAAATGGAGGTAGTGACAGATGTTATTTTCCTGGGCTCCAAGATCACCTCAGATGGGGACTGCAGCCAAGAAATTAAAAGACGCTTGCTCCTGGGGAGGAAAGCTATGGCAAATCTAGACAGCATTCTAAAAAGCAGAGACGTCACCCTGCCAACAAAAGTGCGTATAGTCCAGGCCATGATTTTCCCAGTTTGCAACGTATGGCTGTGAAAGTTGGACCATAAGAAAGGCTGAGCGCAAAAGAATGGAGGCCTTTGAACTGTGGTGCTGGAGAAGACTCCTGCGAGTCCCTTGGACTGCAAGGCGTTCAAACCGGTCGGTCCTAGAAGAGATCAACCCCGACTGCTCTTTAGAAGGCCAGATCCTGAAGTTGAAACTCAAGTACTTTGGCCACCTAATGAGAAGGAAGGATTCCCTGGAGAAGAGCCTAATGTTGGGAAAGATTGAGGGCAATAGAAGAATGGGACGACAGAGAATGAGATGGCTGGATGGAGTCACTGAAGCAGTAGGTGTGAACTTAAATGGACTCCAGAAGATGGTAGAGGACAGGAAGACCTGGAGGAACACGACTTCGCAATTAACAACAACAACAACACTAATAAACAATTAAAAAAACAGCTTTAGACAACCGGAGAGACCCTCAACCTAGCTGAACAAAACACAATTGCTGTGTTGGTACAATGTCGTCTGTCTGAGCCAAGAAATTTTTTTATGAGACTTATTTATTTATGAGACTTATATACCGCTTTAAGTGCGAGCACTCTCTAAGCGGTGTACACCAGTAAGCAATGTATATATATATATATATATATATATATATATTTCCATTGCCCCCAACAATCTGGGTCCTCATTTTACCTACCTCGGAAGGATGGAAGGCTGAGTCAACCTTGAGCCGGTGAGATTTGAACCGCTGACCTGCTGAACACAGTCAGCTAAAGTGGCCTGCAGTACTACACAAGGTAAGGGCCTGATTCACATGGAGAATTACAAATTCTCCATCGTATTCTGGCTGAGTCGGTGGTGTGATCTGATCTGAACCCGTGGGGTGTGTGGTGTGGAGAGGGAGGGGTGAGGAACCAGGCAAGGAAGAGAGATGGGAGGAGGGCGAAGATAAAGCTTCCCATATAAATAAGTACAAACAAGGCGTCGTGGGAATCTGCTCGCTCCCGAAAGAAAAGACAATAATCGATATTTGTATACAATAAAACAACCTTATGGAGCTCTTTTAAAGAGCGTTTCTAAGCGTCTGTGTAATTGCCCAGGTATTGTTCAATTGCTCAATATTGATCAAATTTTCGTTCCCCACACAGCTGGGCAGAAGGAGCTGGGGAAGAGGTCCCAGAGCAATGTTTTTCAGCCTTGGCAAGTTTAAGATGTATGGGCTTCAACTCCCAGAATTCCCCAGCCAGCCCTGCTGTTTTCTTCTGGGGTGTTTTTTTTCAGCAACCTTGGTTAACTCATGCTCGGGAACTCCTGGTGGTCTCCCATCCACACTCCAACCTGTCCCGAAGCTGCTAATGTTACAGTGCTGTTTCTCAACCTTTAGGATGGGTGGACTTCAACTCCCAGAATTCCCCAGCCAGCCCTGCTGTTTTCTTCTAGGGTTTTTTTTTTCCAGCAAACTTGGTTAACTCGTGCTTGGGAACTCCTAGGTGGTCTCCCATCCGCACTCCAACCTGTCCCGAAGCTGTTAATGTTACAGTGTTGTTTCTCAACCTTTAGGATGGGTAGACGTCAACTCCCAGAATTCCCCAGCTTAGCATGCTGGCTGAGGAACTCTGGGAGTTGAAGTCCACCCATCTTATATCTGCGAAGATCGAGAAACAGGACTATCCAGGTAGTCCTTGACATACGACCACAATCGAGCCCAGAACTTACGTTGCTAAGTGAGAAATTTGTTCAGTGAGTTTTGTCCCATGTTACGACTTTCCTGGTTGTTAAGCGAATCACTGCAGTTGTTAAATTAGTCACACGGTCGTTAAGTGAATCGGGCTATCCCATTGACTTTGCTTGTCGGAAGGTCGCAAAATGGGGATCACGTGACCCGGGGGACACTGCAGCCGTCATAAATATGAACCCGTTGTCAAGCATCCGGATGTAAATCACGTGACCACGGGGATGCTGCAACAGTCACATATGTGGAAAACGGTCGTAATTCCCTTTTATCAGGGCCGTTGTAACTTTGAACGGTCACTAAGTCGAGGACTATCTGCACTGGGGCTTCTCTAGAGGGAAATCTACATCCTAAACCCGAGTTCAATTTCCCCTATTTGCACTGGCATCCCGGTACTTTACAGTACCCCCCCCCCGTTTGCCCACTTAAAACAAGCTGGCTCTTTTCAAACCGTGGTCTGATCTGCCGGTAATTGCTGAAGGAGGGAAGGGGGGGGAAAACAGCAGAGACAAGAGGCTGAGATAATTCAAGCCATTTAAGCAATTGGGGACCTCTAGCCGATATCGAGTTAATAGCGTGTGCCAAGCCACGATTGTGCCTAGTTGCAATGATGGAGCAGGCGAGGCTGCTCCCCCTAATGCTCGCCTTTGATTTATAATTCATTTAGCGGCTCGTCAAAGCGAAGGAGCCACTTCTGAAAGACACCGCCGGGTGAGGGTGCTGAGCGAGCCCGTGAGGCTGAAGGGGTCTCCGCCGTCCACGTGCACAGATGGGTCCCCAGGAGGGGAGAAAACTCAATAAGCCAACATCTGCAGCCTTGCTTCAATCCAGGAGGTTGGCAAACCTAATCTGGTCTGGTCTGGTGTGTGTGTGTGTGTGTGTGTGTGTGTGTGTGTGTGTGTGTGTGTGTGTAATAGATCCCATCTGGGGTGCTGGGTCATGGAAGGAAGCCTGCTTAGCCCCCATCAACCATGGTCCAGACCTGGTGCATCATGGGAGATGGGCCTTCGCATCCACGCTTCTCTATGTTCCTTGCTTTCCAAGGAGAAAAGAGTTAGCTTAGCGCTGGGAGTCAGGCCCGTTTCCGAGGGCAGATCGTCCTCGACTTAACGGCAGCTTGTTTAGTGACCGTTCAAAGTTACAACGGCACTGGAAAAAGGGACTTGTGGACCGTTTTTCACACCTGACGCCCGTCGCAGCATCCCTGCGGTCACGTCATCAAAATTGAGAAGCTTGGCTACCGACTCATATTTATGACGTGGCAGTGTCCCGGGGGAGATCGCGCGATCCCCTTTTGCGAACCTCTGACGTGCAAAGTCCACGGGGAGGCCAGACTGACGTAACCGCTGCGTTCCTAACTTAACGGCTGCCTTGATTCACTTAACAACTGGTTAAGGTCGTCAAGCGGGGCAAAGCTCACGTTTAACAATGTCCCACTTAGCGGCAGAAATCTGGGGCCCAGTCGTGGTCGTTACGTCGAGAACCACCTATGCCTCTTTGTCCGTCTTCCCAAACACAAGTTCGACGCCTCCACGCCGGCCTCCGCTGCAAGCGGCAGCTCTCACATCCCACACAACAGCGAGGTGGGGAGGGTGTGTGTGTGTGTGTGCTGGCTTCGACCCAGCAGCCCCCCCCCCACTAATGGTTCCCCCTCCCCATTCTTTTCAACTGCTCCGCAATGTTCTCGGCTGGCTAATGGGGCAATTTTTTTATTCTTCGCATTACACCCATTTGTCCAATTTGCCGTGCCATTCAGAGAGGCGAAGATAGCGGCAGATTAGCCGGCGGGGGGTTCTCCGGGGCGCTGGCTGTCCTCCATCTTGGGAAGATGAGTCGGCTTATCTTGGCAGGAGATATTTCCACCGGGCCTCGGACCGACGGCTGACAGCAGCTTCTGACAGGCACCCGAACTCAGACTTTGGTGGCCTGAATTTAGATTTTGGAGCTCTGAATGGTGACAGGGAGTCCTCGAGTTACGTCCGCAGTGGGGCCCAACATGTTATATGAGACGTTTGTTAAGGGAGTTTTGCCCCATTTCGCGGCCGAAATGGTGTAGGGTTTCCTGCCTGAGCAGGGGGTTGGACTCGATGACCTCCCAGGTCCCTTCCAACTTTATTATTATTACTGCAGTCGATAAGTTAGTAACCCGGTCGTTAAGTGGATCTCGCTTCCCCCATTGACTGACAGGCTAATCTGACAGATTATATTGCCTGTCAGAAGGTCGCAAAAGGGGTCGCGTGAACTGACGACACAGCAACGGTTCTGGGAATTGAGGTCCAGGCGTGCTGGGGAATTCTGGGAGTTGAAGTCCAGGTGTGCTGCCTGGGGAATCCTGGGAGTTGAAGTCCAGAAGTGCTGGATGGGGAATTCTGGGAGTTGAAATCCATGCCTGCTGCCTGGGGACTGCTGGGAGTTGAAGTCCAGGCCTGCTAGATGGGGAATTCTGGGAGTTGAAGTCCATGCCTCTTAACAGGGTCAAGAAACACTGCTTTACAAAAACCCTGTGTCTTCTGATGGTTAACTAGAATAATCTCTTGGGGTGATGTGAACCCTCAAATTTTCTATGAGCCTAACCCAGATATCCTTGACTTACAATAGTTCGTTTAGTGACCATTTGAGGTTACAACGGGACTGAAAGAAAGACTCGCCCTTTGGGGCAAGGGACACACCTAAAAATCAAGCTAGGGTGGGGGTGGGGGTGGTGGAGCTGCCCCACCCGTCCCGCACCCACTTACCTGGTCTCTCCTTGCCGGCCCACTTCTTCTTCTGAGGCCTCTTCTGCAACCTGGGGCCTGCATTTCTCAGTCACGGGCCTTTCCGGAAGGCCTCTGCAGCCGAGAGCTGCAGTGATGGACTCAATCCATAGCTCGATTCTGCAAGACCTCTGCAACTGAGCACCAGGCTATGGATTGAATCCATAGCTCTGTACTCGGCTGCCTGGGCCTTCCGGAAAGGCCTGACTGCAAAATGTAGGCCCGAATGCAGCTGCAGAACTTCGGCCCCAGAAGAAGTGGACCGGCTGGGTGGGGCTGTCAGTGCTGGAGGTGAGGTAAGGCCTACCCCAAAAATAAGACCTGGTGCCTCTTTTGGAGGCAAAAAAAAAAAAAATGAAAAAATAAAATAAGACCCGGACAGCTACTTGTCTGGAATGGTAGAGGGTCTCCTGCTCCAGCAGGGGGTTGGGCTAGAAGACCTCCAAGGTCCCTTCCAGCTCTGTTATTCTGTTAAAAGGCTAGTTCTTCCCAAAGTTTCCAAAACTGCCCACCATTTACATCACGGCTAATTCTCCTCCCACAGCCAGGGGGCAGCACCCGCAACACTTTGCTTGATCTCAGAAAGCTAACCAGGTCAGACCTGATTACAGTTAGTTCTCGACTTACGACGTTCCTTTAGTGACCGTTCAAAGTTGCAACAGCATTGAAAAAAGTGACTTATCACTGTTTTCTTTCACCCTTGTGACCGTTGCAGCCTCTTCATAGTCATGGGATCAAATTCACACGCTTGGCAACTGGCATGTATTTATGACGGTCGCAGTGTCCCGGGGTCACGTGATTCACCTTTTGGGACCTCCAGACAAGCAAAGTCAAAGGGGAAGCCAGATTCGCTTAACAATTGTGAGACGAAGTTAGCAACTGCAGCGATTCACTTATCGGCGGTGGCAAGATAAGTCATAAAACGGGGCACAACTCACTGAACATGTCTCGCTTAGCGACGGAAATGATGAGAATCGGAAAGATAAGGTGGGAATCCTACCTGTGTTCCCTAAAATCGTAAACCAATCTAGTCACCTGCGCTCATGTGAAACGGGTTAAGCCCCAAGAAAGCAAAATCAGGGTTTGTGCCACTGCACAGGATGAGACTTTCTCTGGCGATGCATGTTGTGCGAATACACAGCCGGACAGGAAAAGGTGGAAGCACTGAACTCACCTGTACAAGGATCCAGGAGAAGATGACAGCGACCCAGGGGTTCCCACCAACCGACGTCTGTTTGGCTGGACCCAAAACTTTGCCTTTATCACAAGGGGGACAGGAAGAGAGAAAATAAAACGATCCATTAAGATCAATTCTGTTTAGGCATAGATCAGTGTTTCCCAAACTTGACAATTTTAAGGCATGAGGACTTCAACTCCCAAAATTCCACAGCCAGCAACGCTGGCTGTGGAATTCTGGGAGTTGAAGTCCACATGCCTTAAAATTGTCAAGTTTGGGAAACACTGGCATAGATCACTGGGGGCAGCTCAGACCCAGAACTTTATAGCAGAAAGCATTTTTAATCCAATCTATTCCTCAGATCAGCGTTTCTCAACCTCACAGCTTTGAAGGTAGGTGGACTTCAACTCCCAGAATTCCCCAGCCAGCATTCTGGGAGTTGAAGTCCACCTACCTTAAAAGCTGTCGAGGTTGAGAAACACTAAAGCAGCGTGGGTCGGGACCCCATTTGGGGTCGAACGACCATTTCACGGGGGTCGCCAAACGACGCAGTCCGCCATTTTTTTCCCCCTTTTCCTTAGCTGTGCTACTCCTTTTATTCTATTGGCTTTTGAAAGCCAATAGAATAGACTCTCTTAAATAGAGTCTAATTCTATTGGCTTTCAAAAGCCAATAGGAATTGTCCAGGCTGTCTCTGCCCTGCTGAGCCCCCCAAAAGCCCCAGTCTGCAAACGGTGCTGCAAGTTGTCTGCTGCGAAGGCGAGCTGTCTGGAAGTTTCCACCCCTCCTGCTGAGCAACTACTAAAAATGTAAGTAAAAGAGGGCCAGAGGTGGGAGGTGGGAGGCCAGCGGGCGCAGGGAAGGTTGCTGGTGTGCGTGGGGCCCAGCGGGTGCCTTACCTCCCTTGGGCTGGGCCAGCTGGTGGCCCAGCCAGTGGTCGCCCTGCGCCGTCGCTGCCGCTTGCCAGCTACGCCTCGGCCGGCGCAGGGGGCGGCACCATGCATGCACGGCGCTCCCGGGCAGGGAAAGTCCTCGACTTACGACCGGTTGGGTAAGTCTTCAACTTACGACCGGTTGGGTAGCCCTCGACTTATGACCGGTTGGGGTCGTGGCATTAAAAAGGTTGAGAACCCACTGCATTAAAGTTTCCAACTCACAAGCGATGTTAAAAGAGGGAACGTTTTAACTCCTTCTCCCCAATTCAGATATTACCAGCCTCAATTTTGAAAAGTATGATTGCATTTAAAAAAAACGGAGAGAGATGTCAAGAACAAAATATTCCTTTCTGCCAAGGAAAGAAAAAAAAAAAGAGAGAAGAAAAACGTTTTCCAAAAACCTGATGGATTCATAATTATCTACCATAATAACTAACAAAGAACTGAGAGCCTTACTTTATTCTCCGTCAATAGGTCCAGTTCCCTTTTTTTGGGGGGGGAGCCTCAAAATCTGTGGCCAACTTCGAGTAGGAAACTCCACAAGCCAGTTGCATGCTGGGTAAAATTGCCTTTCCTTTTGTACGTCCTCATTCAGTGCCCATTTAGTTTCATGAGGTGAAGCGGGAGTTGTAATATAAGAAGGAAAAAACTCTTTGCCTCCTTTATTGTTCTCGGCACCATACAGAACTTTCTATACTTCTATCATACCGTTCTAATTTTCGTTGGAGGGGCTAAAAAACTGCAAACAAATCCAGTATACGGGTAGTCCTCAACTTACAACAGTTCGTTTAGTGACCGTTTGAAGTTACGACGGCACCGAAAAAAGGGGTTTAGGACCAGTTTTTCACAGGGCACTAAAAAGGGATATGACTGTTTTTCACATGACCGCTGCAGTATCCTCCATGGTGACGTGATCAAAATTCAGATGCTGGGCGACTGACTCACGTTTATGACGGTTGCAGTGTCTTGGGGTCATGTGATCCCCTTTTGCGACATTCCGACAAGCAAGGTCAACAAGAAAGCCTGATTCATTTAACAACTGCAGTGATTCACTTAACCCAGGGGTCTTCAAACTTGGCCCTTTCATGACTTGTGGACTTCAACTCCCAGAATTCCTCAGCCAGCCTCCATTTTGTTTGTTAGATTTAAGACAGGGGTCTTTAAACTTGGCCCTTTTATGACTTGTGGACCAACTCCCAGAATTCCTCAGCCAGGCATGACCCTGTCTTAAATCTAACGAACAAAATGGAGACTGGTTGAGGAATTCTGGGAGTTGAAGTCCACAAGTCATGAAAGGGCCAAGTTTGAAGACCCCTGACTTAACCACTGTGGTAAGAAAGGATGGGGCAAAATTCACGTAACAACTGTCTCGCCTAGCAACAGAAATGTGGTCGTAAGTTCAGGTCGTCCTCGATTTACCACAGTTCATTTAGTGACCGTTCAAAGTTATGACAGCACTGAAAAGTGACTTATGACCATTTTTCACAGTTACGACCCTTGAAGCATTCCCATGGTCATGAACAAAATTCAGACACTTGGCAACTGACTCACATTTATGATGGTTGTAGTGTTCCGGGGTCATGTGATCATCTTTTGCAACCTTCGGACAAGCAAAGCCAGATTCACTTAACAATTGTGTTACTCACTTAACAACTGTAGTGATTCACTTAACAATTGTGGCAAAAAGTCATAAAATGCGGCCAAATTCATTTCACAACTGTCTCGCTTAGCAACAGAAATTTTGAGTTCAGTTGTGGTCGTAAGTCGAGGACTACCTTATAAAGTATTTTCTTAATTCTGTTCTAGAATTCTAAATTCTATCATTTATTCCAGTGCTTCTGAACGTAGCCTCTCAGGATGACAGGACTTCAACGTTAGCTATGAGGTCTGTTGAATTCTGGGAATTGAACTCCAGACTGTCATGGTTCCAATGAAACTCTTCAACGAACTTTGAGGCATTGTTTACCTTAAAGAATCTTTGAGAAGCATAGCATCTGCATGTACACAGGCAAAGCCAAAAACTGGATTCCCCTTCCCTGAGCACATAGTATCAAAGCACAATTCCCTCCTCCAATTAACAGTCATAAATCACATTCTCCAATTAGTTTGAAATGCAGGCTCTCCCTCCAGTTCTCCAGCCTGCCAATTCTTATCAACTCTTATTTCAATAACCTTGATTCTCACCCTAGGTCCAGTATTGTTATGTCTAGCTAAACTCCCATGCACATTCTTCCCCCTCCAGCATCATCTAACTCTAACTCTAAGAGTAAAAGCATAAGAAGAAAATGGTGGCATCTCCAACTGTTGTCAAAGCAAAAACATCTGATGTTAGCAGCGTCGACACAGACATCTTCAAGTTGCTAAGCTTAAGAAACACCGTCGTAAGTCCGAGGACGACCTGTAACAATTCTTTTCTAATGATCTCAGAATGAGATATTGGTTTTTCTTCTTTTTCCTCACAACGCCTACGCGCTGGATCACTGTTTGCCCTGAGCGAGACTCGCTTAGTTACCTGTCATTCAATACCTATCAGCTCATTTGTGCCATTAGGTATTTTCGCCTCAATATTTTACACTTTACGCTCCCTTGCACATTTCGCAGTTTGCCATTTTCAAGCCTATTTCCTCAGACGAAAGAAAAATTTTCACCGCTTCGCAGCTTCTCCTTTGCTTCAACCCTCCTCTTCTTAGGCCCCGTGAAAAATGGAACTTGGAGATTAAAATCTGGTTTTCCTCATAAGAGCAGTCCTTCCTTCTCTGCCAAGGATGGTCGCAAAATCCGCCAAGACTTTTTTTTACTTTATTACTTTATTTTATTTAGTTGGCCGAGTGTGGTTAGACAGGCCAGGAATGAGTCCCTGGGTCAGAAGCAACGTTGTGTACTAGCAAAACAACAGAATATGATAATTATAATGCTAAACTGTGCAGCCAATAAAACGGGGAAGTAAAAAAAATAATAAAGGGGATAGATAATAATACTGCAGCCACATTGGTGGGTTAACAGACATACGCATTAGGGAGAAAAAAAAAACCCTGTATTTTGTCAGCTGCAAAAATTAGGTTTTCAGCAGAGTTATGGCACAAGGGAGGGAAGTGTCCCTGTGCTTAGTTGTCTTGGCACACAACGCTCTACAGCGCCCTCCCGAGGGAAAGAGTTGAAATAGCTTGGGTCAGCATGTGAAGGATCTGCAGGGCTCTTCTCAGCCTCTCTTCGAGGCCAAAATTTCTAAGCGAGGCGTTGGCTTCGTGAGCTTTTGCCCCGTTTTACAAAATTTCTTGCCGCCGTTGTTAAATGAATCGCCGGAGTAGTTAAGTCAGAAACACGGTAGTTAAGTGGATCGGGCTTCCCTGTGAACTTGGCTTGTCAGAAGGTCGCAAAAATGGGATCACGTGAGCCCCCCCTGGGAGGCTGCAACCGTCGTAAATGTGAGTCAGTTGCCAAGTGCCTGAATTTTGATCGCTGCAATGGTCATAAATGTGAAGAATGGTTGTAAGTCACTTTTTTCGGTGCAATTGAACTGTGATTAAGTCAAAGATTCGCTGTATAGAGGTCCTCTATGGAAGGCATAATCCACAAGGGGTTGGGAGAATAGAATAGAACAGAACAGAATATAAGAAAAGGAATAGAATAGAACAGAACAGAACAGGAATAGAGTAGAGTAGAGTAGGATATAGAAAAGGAATGGAATGGAATGGAATGGAGTGGAGTGGAATGGAATAGAATGGAATAGAATAGAATAGAATAGAATAGAATAGAATAGAATAGAATAGAACATAGAAAAGGAATAGAGTAGAGTAGAGTAGGATATACAAAAGGAAAGGAATGGAATGGAATAAAGGAATGGAATGGAATGGAATGGAATGGAATAGAATAGAATAGAATAGAATAGAATAGAATAGAATAGAATAGAATAGAATAGAACATAGAAAAGGAATAGAGTAGAGTAGAGTAGAGTAGGATATACAAAAGGAAAGGAATGGAATGGAATGGAATAGAGAAAAGGAATGGAATGGAATGGAATGGAATGGAATAGAATAGAATAGAATAGAATAGAATAGAATAGAATAGAGAAAAGGATTGGAATGGAATGGAATGGAATAGAATAGAATAGAATAGAACATAGAAAAGGAATAGAGTAGAGTAGAGTAGAGTAGAGTAGAGTAGGATATACAAAAGGAAAGGAATGGAATGGAATGGAATAGAGAAAAGGAATGGAATGGAATGGAATGGAATGGAATGGAACGGAATAGAATAGAATAGAATAGAATAGAATAGAATAGAATAGAATAGAATAGAATAGAATAGAATAGAATAGAGAAAAGGATTGGAATGGAATGGAATAGAATAGAATAAGAAATAGAATAGAACAGAACAGCTGGAAGGGACCTTGGAGGTCTTCTATTCCAGCCCCCTGCTCAAGCAGGAGGACCTATACCAGGGGTAGGCAACCTTGGCTCTTTTATGACTCGTGGACTTCAACTCCCAGAATTCATGAGCCAGCATGGGGGAACTATGGCCCTTTCATGATTCATGGACTTCAACTCCCAGAATTCCTGAGCCAGCCTGGCTCAGCTTGGAAACCTCTCCCTTTCCCCTCAGCATGGCTGGCTCAGGAATTCTGGGAGTTGAAGTCCACCAGTCATAAAAGAGCCAAGGTTGCCTACCCCTGACCTATACCATCTCAGACAGGTGATTGTCCAGTCTCTTTTTAAAAACATCCAGCGATGTTGAACGGTTTCTAATCGATGTAATAAGAAAATGCACACATCATTTAATTTGGCTTTTGTGGGGTGCTCTCTGAGCATGGCGGTTTTCTTGCAGACGTTTCATTACCAAACAAGAACAAGGAATGGTTGCTGGAATTGGGTATGTCTAGTTTAACGAAGAGAAGGACGAGGGGGGACATGATAGCAGTCTGCCAATATCTCAGGGGCTGCCCCAAAGAGGGAGTCAAGCTATTCTCCAAGGCGCCTGAAGGCAGGATGAGAAGCAACGGATGGAAACTAACCAAAGAGAGAAGCAACCTAGAACTAAGGAGAAACTTCCTGACAGTTAGAACAATTAACCAGTGGAACCACCTGCCTCCAGAAGTGGTGAATGCGCCAACACTGGAAGTTTTTAAGAAGAAACTGGTCAGCCATTTGTCTGAAATGGTATAGGGTTTCTTGCCTGAGCTGGGGGTTAGACTAGATGACCTCCAAGGTCCCTTCCAACTTTATCATTATTATTATTATTAAGATAACATCATCAGTGCCACTTTGGCTTTGGCTTTTTGCCCCGACTATAAATCATGGCTATCAGAAGATATTATCCAGGCAATAAGAGGAGACAGGAATGGGCCTTTTAAGTAGAGACTTCTCCCCCCCCCCCAAATGTGGAACCATTTTCCTTATCCACTAAGCCCATCCTCCCAATTCCTGGGTGCCCAGTATAAGGATTTTGATTGATGAAAGCCTTTTTTGGCTCCTTCTACCTGACAGTTCTGTGGCTTTATAACTCTTTGCTTGTATTGTTTATAGGAAACCGAAGAGACATTGTGTGCTTTAGTACAGTGCATTTATATGCTCATAAACATCTACGGAATTTGTCAATTCTGAAGGGGTAACGGGTATTTATTTAAACTGTTAATTCTACCCTCTCTTTGGGTAGCCATGCCATCTGCAGATTCTGGGCTTTTTCAGTCCCATTGTCGGGCATAGCCCGCTCACCTTCCTGGCCATTTGCTAGAAAAATATATGTTCCTGGTAAGAGAACACATTTCCATAAAGCAAGAGAAAAGTCCCAAATCCTCACCAGGTCAATACTTTATCAGGGTCAATCCAGGCATCCTAAAATAATGAGTAAAGAAATTCTCTAACTGCATCGGGTGATAATATTGCTATGAAACAAAGCAAGGAGAGATTTGTGCTGGGGAAAATGTTCAAAGAGATGTATGTGTTTCTCTCTCTTTCTCTTTTTTTTTTTCAAAAAAATTATATATGGCAGGCTTATGAAGGAGATCACTTTCATCCACTACTGAGAAGGGTAGAAATGGTTTTCCCCAACTAATGTTCCAATTTTTCTTTCCACTCATAAAATAAAAATAAAACTTCCTCGGGGTTGAGCTCAGCAGCAGAGCTTTCATACTGCAGGAATTGGAGGCCCCTGACTTCTTCTCCAATGATGCGTTCAGCTTCCCAGCAGCTCATAAACTTGGCTTTCTGAGTGGTGCCCCATCCATCAACTGGCCTGGCCAGGCCTAGCTTTTTCAAGACGAGCCTGGCTGCCTGCGTGAATAGTCTCTCATCCAAACTTCACGTTATTCTTTTAGTCAGAAATCCCATCTCGCACGTCACCGATCAATCACTACCTGGGCCGGGAGCTGTTGGTGGCACTCACTGGGCTCATGTATTGTGGGTCTGTTGTGAAAGTACCACAATTAGCATTTTTCCCGCCTCACGAATGTATTTATTTATTTACTGCACGGTGTGGAAGACACGGATAAGCAGCAGTAAAGAGGTATAGAAAGTACAGACGTAGAGAAAGAACATAATTCAGATAGTCCTCGACTTACAACCGTTCATTTAGTGACTGTTCAAAGTTACAAAGGCGCTGAAAAAAAAAGTGACCGTTTTCCACACTTCTCAGGTGTGGACTTCAACGCCCAGAATTCCCCAGCCAGCCTCCAAACCCGGCAACTTTAAGGACTTGTGGACATGATGGCTGAGGAATTCTGGGAGTTGAAGTCCACCAGTCTTAAAAGTGGCCAGGTTTGGTGACCTCTGCTCTGCCACATTGCGACGCTCTTCTCTGTTACTCACCAAAGAGGTCATCTTTGGCCAAAGCGTACAGGATCCGGGAGGCGCCAATGAGGTTGCTCATGGCGGCTGAGAGGGTCGAAAGGTAGACCCCGATGATGACAAAGGGGGCCCAGATGTTGATGTCCTTCAAAAAGCTGTAGTCCCGCTGGAGAAGAAGCCTAGAGAGAGAAGAACATTGGGAGAAGAACATTGCGTGATGAAGTCATGTAGGCAACTCCTAACTATCATAATGTCCCTTAATCTTGAAGTGATTACAGCTGGGGGTCTTCAAACTTGGTCCTTTGATGACTTGTGGACTTCAACTCCCAGAATTCCTCAGCCAGGCACGCTGGGAGTTGAAATCCACAAGTCATCAAAGGACCAAGTTTGAAGACCCCTGGATTACAGTGTCTTTGAAAGGGGACTCCCTGGGTTTCCAAAAACCAGGGCCATCGCTTGGAAAAGAGATTATTATAAACTCTGCTATAGGACAGTAGGACGGTAGTCCTCAACGTATGACCACAATTGAGCCCCCAAATCATGTTGCTTAAGTGAGACTTTTGCTAAGTGATTTTGCCCCATTTGATGATCTTTCTTGCCACCGTTTTTAAGGGAATCACTGCAGTACGGGACGCTGCAGCCGTCATAAATAGGAGTCAGTTGCCAAACGTCTGAATTCTGATCAGGTGACCGTGAGGGTGCTGCAACGGTTGTGAATGTGAAAACGGTCATAACTCACTTTTTTCAGCGCCGCTGTAACTCTGGAGGTCACTAAATGGGCTGTTGTTGAAGGCGAGCTGGGCCCCTTTGAATGTCTGCATGTAAATCTGGAGTGAGGCTTTGCCTGTGCTGGTGGCTGGGTGACTTTGCGCCAATCACCAGGAGACGGTGAGTTCTAGTCCTGCCTTAGGCATGAAAGTTAGTTGGGTGACTTTGTGCCAATCACCAGGCGATGGTGAGTTCTAGTCCTGCCTTAGGCATGAAAGATGACTGGGTGACTTTGCACCAATCACCAGGAGGTGGTGAGTTCTAGACCTGCCTTAGGCATGAAAGACAACTGGGTGACTTTGCACCAATCACCAGGAGATGGTGAGTTCTAGTTCTGCCTTAGGCATAAAAAGTTATTTGGGTGACTTTGCGCCAATCACCAGGCGATGGTGAGTTCTAGTCCTGCCTTAGGCATGAAAGATGGCTGGGCGACTTTGTGCCAATCATCAGCAGACAGTGAGTTCATGTCCCATCTTAGGCATGAAAGACAGCTGGGTGACTTTGGGACAATCACCAGGAGATGGTGAGTTCTAGTCCTGCCTTAGGCATGAAAGCCAGCTGGGTGACTTTGGGCAGTCCTTCTCCCCCAGCTGAACCCAGCTTACAGGGCTGTTGTGGGGAAAATAGGAGGAGGAGGAAGAAGTGCTAGCTGTGTTCTCCTCTAGGAGTTACTCATAAAGTAATAAAGTTGGGATAAACCACCTAATAAATAAGCAACTCAGCCCAGGAGGCGAGAACCCTAAGAAGAAACATTTCACAGCCTTCAAAGAGATCCCGCCTTCATTCATAAAAGGACGGGCAGCTATTTCTGCACTTTCCAAGATTCTCTATTTATGCCTCATTCTAGCCTTAGAGAAACTTTGTGGGTAGTCCTTGACTTACAACCATTCATTTAGCGACCGTCTGAGATTAAAACGGCACTGAAAAGTTTTCCACTATGATTGCTTTTTTCACACTTAACGACCCTCGTCGCAGCATCTCCGTGTCACGGGATCAAAATCCGGAGGCTCGGCAACTGGTTCATATTTATGACGGTCGCAGTGTCCCGAGTTCATGGGATCCTCTTGGATGACCTTCTGACAAGCAAAGTCAATGGGGAAGCCAGGTGCCCTTAGCCACCACGTTACTAACTTAACCACTGCAGCGATTCGCTTAGCGACCATGGTGAGAAAGGTCGTAAAACGGAACAAAACTTGCTTAACTGTCAGGCCCAGCAACAGATATCAGGGGCTCAATTTTGGTCGTAAATCAAGAACCACCTGTATCGGAAGTCTTGCCTTCTGGCCTTGTCCACTTCCAGGGACTTGTCACCTTGTCCAAATCGGCAGAAGACACTATCAGCTGTCTCCTTGGCAAAAGTTTCCTCCAAATCGATCATAGATCACTTTGTAATCACTTCCCCAATTTTACGAGACAGCAGCTGATGGAAGCCCGTTGAAAAGGCAGACGGGGCAAAATGCAATAAAGCAACTCAAAAGAGAAGATGCCTAACTTTCGCTAAGACACCAGACTGTACAAATGGCTGGGATTTAATTGGATTTTAACAAGAGGCAGCGAGCAGGTGGGAGATAAATTTGCATGGGCTATCAAAGCCGCTGTCTTTTTTTGGGCAATTAATACCCAATTAGCCTTCAAATTGATCACCTCGCTGATAAATGCAGGGGATTGGGTAGTTGGAGGTTTTAGGGGACCATTCTGGGCATTTGGAGACCAGACAGCAGCCTTCTCTCTTCTCTGAACAGGTGGATGTAGAGCAGTGTTTCTCAACCTTGACCATTTTAAGGCATGTGGACTTCAACTCCCAGAATTCCACAGCCAGCATTGCTGGCTGTGGAATTCTGGGAGTTGAAGTCCACATGCCTTAAAATGGTCAAGGTTGAGAAACACTGATGTAGAGGCTTCGGGGCTCCTGGTTAGAAACCAGCATGGAGTCTCCCAGGACATCTGGGGTATGTACTGCTGCCTTCAATTCACGGTCTAGGCTGGGAAGAACACCATGAGGCTGAAGCCCTGCCATTCAAATGTGGGGTCTAGAGCAGAACTTCTTAACCTCAGCAACATATTTCAAGTTTTGGTAAGGCCACACTTGGAATATTGCATCCAGTTTTTGTGGTCACGATATAAAAAAGATGTTGAGACTCTAGACAGAGTGCAGAGAAGAGCAACAAAGATGATTAGGGGACTGGAGGCTAAAACATACAAGGAACGGTTGCTGGAATTGGGTATGTCCAGTTTAACAAAGAGAAGGATGAGGGGGGACAGGATAGCCGTGTTCCAATATCTCAGGGGCTGCCCCAAAGAAGAGGGAGTCAAGCTGTTCTCCAAAGCGCCTGAAGGCAGGACAAGAAGCAATAGGTGGAAACTAATCAAGGAGAGAAGCAACCTAGAACTAAGGAGAAACTTCCTGACAGTTAGAACAATTAACCAGTGGAACAACCTGCCTCCAGAAGCGGTGAATGCTCCAACACTGGAAGTTTTTAAGAAGAGACTGGACAGCCATTTGTCCAAAATGGTGTAGGGTTTCCTGCCTGAGCAGGGGGTTGGACTAGATGACCTCCAAGGTCCCTTCCAACTTTATTATTATTATTATCGATCATCGCACAGTCAGCCAGATGTTCAGACTGGATTTGGCATTTTGTCTACCTATCGAGTCCTTACCCAGGACCTGGGATAGGCAGATGTGGATGTTTGATGGTATTACAGATATCGTCGCAGGATGGAAGCAGTTCCTAGTAAGGCCGCCTTTTGCAATTGACTAATAGCGAAATTTGTCAATGCCAATGGTGTTCAAGTGGTGCTCCAGTTGTTTTGGGATTGCACCCAAGGAGCCTATGACTATTGGTACTACCCTTGCTTGCTTTTGCCACAGTCTTTCTATTTCTATTTGTAGGTCTTTGTATTTTGTTATCTTCTCCAGTTTTTTTATTATTATTATTATGGATCATCGCACAGTCAGCCAGATGTTCAGACTGGATTTGGCATTTTGTCTACCTATCAAGTCCTTACCCAGGACCTGGGATAGGCAGATGTGGATGTTTGATGGTATTACAGGTATCGTCACTCTTTGAAATCAGCTCCTGCCAATATGCGGCTGGTGGAGAAGGAAGAACAAAGGGGCAGCCGAGGGGCCTATTAAGCATTTCAGAGTGGGGGAGGGAGAAATGGCCGAGGGGGGGGGACTTGCGCAGCATGTCAGGCACGGGGTTTGCAAGCGGTCCTGTCCCCTGTCATTATGAGCAATGGCCGTGCATTAAGGTATTAGAACATGACAGCTATAATTCTAACCAATTCCTGCTGGCTGGCCCAGCCTCTCACGATTTATAGCAGCACTTTGCAGAGCAGAAAATTAACAAGCCGTGCGCTCCAGAACAAGGCAGGCAGGCAGGCAGGCTTGCTCTCTCCCCCACACCCTCACTGAGGCATGTACACACACACACACACACACACACAACAGAGAGAGAAAGAGAGATGCAGGCACATTTTAGCCAAAATCTGTCTTGTAGATCGGCATGCACACAGATACCACCTTTTATCCAAATCCTGTTTTGCAAAACTCCCCAGGACTGGAAGTATGGAAGACCATCTCTCCTTAAGGCTCCCGTAGGATTTCTACCCCAAGGAAAGGCCAGGCGTGCATTTTTCTGGTTGTCTAGGACATGCAAACCGGTTGGGAGTGTGTGGGCTGTGTGTGTAGAATAGAATAGAGCTGGAAGGGACCTTGGAGGTCTTCTAGTCCAACCCTATACTATTCCAGACAAATGGTTGTCCGGTCTCTCCTTAAAAACCTCCAGTGTTGGAACATTCACAGCTTCTGAAGGCGACAATCAGAAGCCTCCCTGTGCTAATGAGCCGGAAGCAATCAAGCCACGTCATGGTGGTTTCCATAGGAAATTGCTGAGATAGCGAAGGAACAAATAAATATAATGGAAGGGACCTTGGAGATCTTCTAGTCCAGCCCCCTGCTCAAGCAGGAGACCCTATATCAGGGGTAGTCAACCTTGGCTCTTTTATGACTCATGGACTTCAATTCCCAGAATTCAGCTATGCTGACTCAGGAATTCTGGGAGTTGAAGTCCATGAGTCATAAAAGAGCCAAGGTTGCCTACCCTTGCCCTATACCATTTCAGACAATGGCTGTCCAGTCTCTTCTTAAAAACCTCCAGTGTTGGAGCACCCACAATTTCTAGAGGCAAATGGTTCCACTGTTTAATTGTCCTCACTGTTAGGAAGTCTCTCCTTAATTCCAGGTTGCTTCCCTCCTTGTTTAGTTTCCATCCATTGTTGTTGTGTGTGTGTGTGTGTGTGTGTGTGTGTGTGTGTGTGTGTTGATGCTGGAATCAATCAACAGGAAGGCGGGTTTCCATTCTCTGGGTGGGATTAAGCAGGACCTGGACCAACATTTGTACTGGAGGCCTTAATATGGACTCCTGCACCAAGAGGGAGGGCTCAATGGCCTGGTTTTTCCCAGGTGGTTTTAGAAGACCAAGAGGGGGAGGGGGGGAATCAGGAAGTGGGAAAATGAGATGGATGGTTTTTAGGACAGGCTTCCTCAACCATGGCCACTTTTAAGAGACCTGGACTTCAACTCCCAGAATTCCCCAGCCAGCCATGCATCATCACACAAGGCCGCAACTGGCATAGAAGTTGCAAAGGGGCTTGGGAAATTGTGAGGCTTTGGCCATTTTTAATTGGCTGGCTTTTTAGGGGAAAGTTGGCCTGGGATGATTTCTTGGCTGACCTTCTGCCAAGGATTTCTGGGGGAGAAAAAAAAAATCAGACTTCTTTAGGAAAGATGGCTAGTTTTTAACCCTGATAGCTGCAGCTGGAAGCCCCTAAGCCAGTGGTTCTCAACCTTTTTAATGCCGCGACCCCCAACCGGTCATAAGTCGAGGACTACTCAACTGGTCATAAGTCGAGGACTACTCAACTGGTGCAGCAGAATGGGACTTTTGGCGGGCTCAGCAGGGCAGAGACAGCCTGGACAATTCCTATTGGCTTTTGAAAGCCAATAGAATTAGACTCTATTCAAGAGAGTCTATTCTATTGGCTTTCAAAAGCCAATAGAATAAAAGGGAGTAGCACAGCTAAGGAAAAGGGGGAAAAAAATGGCGGACTGCGTTGTTTGGCGACCCCCGTGAAATGGTCGTTCGACCCCAAATGGGGTCCCGACCCACAGGTTGAGAACCACTGCCCTAAGTTCAGTGTTTCTCAAGCGTGGCAACTTTAAGATGAGTGGACTTCAACTCCCAGCATTCCCCAGCCAGCAGGGGAATGCTGGGAGTTGAAGTCACTCATCTTAAAGTTGCCATGGTTGAAAAACACTGACCTAAATTAACCATGATGTGAACTAACCTAAGGCACTTTGCTACCTAAACAAAACAGGGCTGGTTTGTCTTGGGAAAGCAATTCACTCTTTTCCATCTACAGGCAGTCCTCGATTTACAAGAGTTCGTTTACTGACCGTTCGAAGTTACAACGGCACTGGAAAAAAAAGTGACTTATGACCGTTTTTCACACTTACGGCCTTTGCATCATCCCCACAGTCACATGATCAAAATTCAGACAATTTTGCCATTGACTCATATTTACGACCGTTGTAGCGTCCTGGGGTCATGTGACCCCCTTTTGTGACCTTCTGACAAGCAAAGTCAATGAGGAAGCCAGGTTCATTCAACAACTTAACTACAGAGATTCACTTAACAACCGTGACAAGAAAGTCGTAAAATGAGGCAAGAGCTATATTTAGCAAATGTCTCAGCTAGCCACAAAGGTTTGGGTTTCGATTGTGGCTGTTAAGTTCAAAAAGGCTACCGTAGTTGTATTAGGCACCTGGATTAAAGAATGCAACTGAATTGTTTTGACTATCACAACGGGAAACTACACAACCATGTTTGACCGGTGATGAAAGCAAGCAATGTCTGTCCCAATTCATCCGCAATGCCCATTTCAGGGAGATTTTGCAAATCCTCCACATGCCTCCTCTCTTAAATCGTCCTCTTCTGTGTTTCCCAACAGTAACATTTTAAGATATGTGGGCTTTGTCAGGGAAATTGCGCAGGAGGGGTCCAAATGAACTCAAGAGACGCCGGCACAAACTTGTGGTTTTTTATAAATAAATGTATTTTACATCGATACATAAAGGCAAGGAAGATAGTGAGGTAAACAGGAGCATCGTGAGGTAAATCACAGAGTACATAGGGCACACACACACAGACAAAAAAAAAAGAGCGGGGGGGGGAAAAAAGGGAAACTCCCCCTCCACACCCCCAGCAACCAATCACAGCGCAGATTGCCTCATGCAGGAGGCAGGGGCCAGCACTCTCCAACCAATCAGCTATAACTGGGTGTTCTTGCTCGCTGTACAACTCTTCACTGCTCCAGCTACTACATTTAAATATCATAACAGACTTCGATTCCCAGAATTCCTCAGCCAGCGTGGGGTATTCTGGGAGCTGAAGTCCACCTGTCTTAAAATGGCTAGTTTGGGAAACGCGGATCTAAAAGCAGAAAACTCCCTCACCCAAGTTCTGAAATTCAGAGTTAATTCCAACACTGGGAAACTTCTGAACTAGGCTGATAAAAGACAGGCGGATTAGAACTGGATTATTCATTTGAGCCAGCCAATTGAAGGACACAGCATGGGGCCTTTTATACCCAGAGCCCTGATTTGATGGAACTCAGCGCAAGCAATTTGATTTCCAAATGAAATAAGAGTGGCTGTTTTAAGACCAAAAAGGAAGAGAGGTGGATAAGAGGAAAATGAGCAGCATGGGAGCAGGCATTTGAATGGAGGGTTCTATATCTTTTGATGTGGAAGGAAGGAAGGAAGGAAGGAAGGAAGGAAGGAAGGAAGGAAGGAAGGAAGGAAGGAAGGAAGGAAGGAAGGAAGGAAGGAAGGAAGAAAGAAGGAGGGAGGGAGGGAGGGAGGGAGGGAGGAAGGAAGGAAGGAAGGAAGGAAGAAAGAAAGAAAGAAAGAAAGAAAGAAAGAAAGCAGGTAGGCAAGCAAGCAAGCAAGCAAGAAAGACAGGAGGAGGGGGAGGGAGAAGGGAGGGAGGAAGGAAAAAGGGAGGGAAGGAGTAAGGAAAGAAAAAGGGAGAGGAAAGAAAGGAAAGGGGGAAGAAGGAAGGAAAAAGGGGGAAGGGTAGGATGAAACGAAGGAAAAGGGGGAGGGAGGAAAGAAGTAAAAAGGGGGAAGAGAAGGAGGGAGGGAGAAAAAGGGGAAGGGAGGGAGGGAGGAAGGAAGGGAGGGAGGGAAGGAGGAAAGAAGGAAGGGAAGGAGGGAGGGAGGAAAGAAGGAAGGAAGGGAGGGAAGGAGGGAGGGAGGGAGAGAGGAAAGAAGGAAGGAACGGAGGGAGGGAGGGAGGAAAGAAGGAAGGTAGGAATGGAGGGAGGGAGGGAAGGAGGAAAGAAGGAAAAAGAGAAAGAAAAAAAGGAAAAAGGAGGGAGGGAGGAGCAGAAGAAAAGCAGCTCATTAAGAAAAATGCTTTTCTCGACAGGCTACCTTTCCAAGAGCAGAGGCTTTTTTTGGAAACAAACCTCAGGCACCTTTAATTTTATTACCCAAATGCCACTAGCTTCAAACCATCTTGGCTGACCAACAAGTAGGAAGATGCCTTAAGGAACAGAAAAATCTACATGAGTCTATCCTGGAACAGCTTCAGCACGTTGTTGTCCCCGTTCCTTTGCCTGTGGAGCGGTGTCAGATGTGACTTTCCCTTCACTAGGATTGTCACTGGAAGTACGAAGTCAGAGCCGCTTCAAGTATCAACGTGGGTAGTCCTCGAATTATATAGCTGGCCACATCGCAACACTTCAGAACCGCAACGGATCCCCCAAAAAAGTTTTGGATAATCCTCAACTTACGACAGCACTCGAACCCCCAAATTTCCACGGCTAAGCGATACACTTGTGAAGTGAATTTTGCCCCGTTTTATGACCTTTCTTTGCCCTAATTGTTAGCTGAATAATTGCAGTTGTTAAGTGAGTAACAAGGCTGTTAAGTGAATCTGGCTTCCCCATGGACATGGCTTGTCAGAAGGTCTCAAACAGGATCACGTGACCCCAGGGCACTGCAGCCGTCATAAATAGGAGCCAGTTGCCAAGCGGGTGACCACAATTCACGACACTTTTGCCAAAACCTGGTGCTTATGTCCGGCTTCTGATGAAAATTGCCCTTGGGGAACAATGGGTTCGCTTTATGACCACCACAGAAAAGGTCGTAAAACCAGGCACCGCCGGGCAGTAACCTGCTTAAGGACCACCATGACTTACTACCAACACTGCAGGCTCAACGATAGTGATAAATTGAGGACTACCTGTGCCAGAGTGAACTCTTTAAAGATTTAGAACAGTGTTTGGACTTCAACTCCCAGAATTCCCCAGCCAGCGCAGGGGAGTTGAAGTCCACGCTTCTGAGAGGATTTTTTCCCCCCCCCTCACATAGAATTGCGGTAGAATACGTGCGCCCCCTGGTGGACGGTCCACCACCTACCTGTCGCAGGTGCAGCTGAGGAGAACAGCCAGCAAATTGTACACAATGTAGGTGAACATCACGGCCATGATGGTGCCCCGAGGAATGGAATAGCTGGGCCGCTTGAGATCGCCTGGAATGAGGGGAGACTTTGATCAAGGAGCACCCCAATCGAAAGGAGGCATCCTCCAGGGCCTCGACCTTGCCCGCTCCCCATCCTTCCCTTCCCACCCGGCGCATTCCCACACACCTGACATGTTCGACCCAGCCATGATTCCCGTGCAGCCGTTGAACATGACAGCAAAGACAGTGCTGAAGCTCATCAGATGGCCAGTTGTGTAGTCGACGCTGTAGTCCGCTACAAAAGGACAGTGTAAAGCAGAATGGTCAACACACCCTAAGTTGCCACAACAAGGATGAAAAAAAAAGCAGGGTGGGGTCCTTTGGCTCCCTAAAAACAAAAGTCTTCCTCATTTAGCGACCGAGGAGCTGCTCCGTCAGATGTAGAGGACCCCCTCCTCTCTGCAGAAGGAGGGAATTGTCATCCCGAATTCCATTTTGTAAACACTTGATTGTACATATATATAGGGCTGTCCTCAACTTACGACCACAATTAAGGCCCAACATTTCTAACTGCTAAGGGAGACATTGGTTAAGTGACAGTTTGCCCCGTTTTATGACCTTTCTTGCCACAGCTGGGAAGGGAATCACTGCTGTCGTTAAGTTAGTAACGACGGCTGTGAAGTGAATCCGGCTTTCCCCATTGACTTTGCGTGTCAGAACGACACAAAAGGGGATCGGAGTGACCCAGAGACACTGCAACTCGTCATAAACATGAGTCAGTTGCCAAGCGTCGGAATATTGATCACGTGACCATGGGGGAATGCTGCAAGGGTCGTAACTGTGAGAACAGTCATAACTTTCTTCAGTATCATTATAACTTTGGTCACTAAATAAGCTGTTGTAAGTAGAGGATTTACTACCCGTAGTTGGAAAAGAGTGAATTGCTTTCCCAAGATAGACTAGCCCAGGGGTAGGCAACCTGGGGTCTTTTATGACTCGTGGACTTCAACTCCCAGAATTCCTGAGCCAGCCATGCTGAGGGGAAAGGGAAAGGTTTCCAAGCTGAGTCATGCTGGCTGAGGAATTCTGGGAGTTGAAGTCCACAAGTCATGAGGGGGCCGTAGTTCCCCCATGCTGGCTCAGGAATTCTGGGAGTTGAAGTCCACGAGTCATAAAAGAGCGAAGGTGGCCTACCCCTGTTCTAGACTCTTCCTCAGCCTGAACGGTGCTTCTCTGGGACTCACATTTTCCCCTATAAATGATCTGAATTCATAGAATCCTATCCTGGAAGGAACCTTTGAGGTCTTCTAGTCCAGCCCCCTGCTCAAGCAGGAGAGCCTATATAAGGGTAGGCAACTTTGGCTCTTTTATGACTCGTGGACTTCAACTCCCAGAATTCCTGAGCCAGCCGTGCTGAGGGGAAAGAGAAAAGTTTCCAAGCTGAGCCATGCTGGCTCAGGAATTCTGGGAGTTGAAGTCCACGAGTCATAAAAGAGCCCAGGTTGCCTACTCCTGGCCTAACCCTATTTTTTTTAGGCAGCAAAATGCCTTAGGTTTGTTCACTTCACAGTTAATTTAGGTCAGTGTTTCTCAACTTTGACGTTATGAGTGGACTTCAACTCCCAGCGTTTCCCAGCCAGCACCTGCTGGCTGGGGAATGCTGGGAGTTGAAGTCCACTCATCTCAAAATTGTTGAGAAACAAAGAGCTAGGGGCTTCCAGCTGCAGCAATCAGGGTTTAAAAACAAGCCTTCTTTCCTAAAGAAATCTGACTTTTTCAGAAATCCTTGGCTTAAAGTTAGCCAAGTGGCATTAGCCAGGCCACCCCTCCCAAGCGGTCATCCCCGTTAAAAACCAGTGTTTTAAAAATGGCCGACGTGTCAGACTTTCACAGGGCCCTTTGCAAGCTTCAAAGGGGGTTACAGGGATAAACTGACCTGTTCAATGTGGGATAACTGCAGCCGGCCACGGAAAGCCAGGTTGGCCAACTGTAATCTTGTACACCGTAGCCCTCAATGTATGGCCACAACGGGGCCCCAAAAGAGCTGCTGCTGAGACAGTTAAGTGATTTTTGCCCCATTTAACGACCTTTCTTGCCACAGTCGCTAAGTGAATCACTGTAGTTCTTCCGTTAGTAACATGTTAAATGAATCCGGCTTCCCTCATTGACTTTGCTTGTGAGAAAGGTCGCAAAAGGGGATCGCGTGACAGGCCCGGGACGCTGCAACCGTCACAAATATGAACCAGTCCCCAAGCATCCGAATTTTGATCACGTGACCCGGGGGGGGGGTTGATGCAATGGATGCAAGTGTGAAACGCATGTTGTAAGCCACTTTTTTCAAGGTCGCCATAACTTCAAACGGTCGCTAAATGGATGGTTGCCTGGCTGTACAGGTAGTCCTCAACTTACAAGCATCCGTTTTGTGACCGTTCCACGATGTGGCCTTCAAGTCAGAAGAGTCCAGAAGAGTCTCCCCCCCCCCAACTCACCATGCAGATTATCCAGGAGGGTGCTGAGTTTGAATCCGGTGAAGGACGCGTTGACGAGTTCGGTGTGATTGCCGTCCCTGATGGCGGGAAGCCGCACGACCTGGACGCTCACGACAAAGAAGCTGAGGCAGACTGTGCCCAGCACCACCATGACGATGAGGAAGATGAGGAAGGTGGCCTTAGCGTAGATGCCGGCGCCCACAAGGCAGACAAGAAGACACAGGAACAGGAGGACCGTGGCATACAGGAGGTCAAACCAATAACCGCGGGGCAGGACCTGTGTGGCCGACCCAATAGTCCCCTCTGCGTATGGTAGACAAAAACTGGGTTTAGAATAGAGTAGAATAGAGTAGAGTAGAGTGCAATGCGATAGAATAGAATAGAATAGAATAGAATAGAATAGAATAGAATAGAATAGAATACAATACAATACAATACAATACAATACAATACAATACAATACAACAAAAGCTGGAAGGGACCTTGGAGGACTTCCAGTCCAGCCCCCCCGCTCAAGCAGGAGAACCTACCATCTGAGACAAGTGGCTGTCCGGTCTCTTCTTAAAAACCTCCAGTGATGGAGCACCCACAACTTCTGGTGGCAAGCTGTTCCACTGGTTGATTGTCCTTACTGTTAGGAAGTTTCTCTTTAATTCCAGGTTGCTTCTCTCCTTGCTTAGTTTCCACCCATTGTTTTTTGTCCTGCCCTCTGGCGTTTTGCAGAATAGGTTGACCTCCCCTTCCTCTTTGTGGGAGCCCCTCAAATACTGGAATACTATCATGTCGCCCCCCCCCCAGTCGTTCTTTTCTCTAGACTAGCCATAGCCAAAGCACTTAAGACTTATATACCGCTTCACAATGCTTGACAGCCCTCTCTAAGCGGTGTACAGAGTCAGCCTATTTGCTCCCAACAATCTGGGTTCTCATTTTATCGACCCTCGGAAGGCGGAAGGCTCAGTCAACCTTGAGTCGGTCAGGATCGAACTCCTGGAGTGAGCAGGGAGTGAGCCTGCAGTACTGGATTCTAACCACTGCACCACCACAGCTCTTTTGCAACTGTTCTTCATTATGTTTCAGTCTCTAGGGCAGGGGTAGGCAACCTTGGCTCTCTTATGACTCGTGGAACTCCCAGAATTCCTCAGCCAGCATGGGGGAACTATGGCCCCTTCATGACTCGTGGACTTCAACTCCCAGAATTCCTGAGCCAGCGTGGGGGAACTATGGTCCCTTCATGACTGGTGGACTTCAACTCCCAGAATTCCTGAGCCAGCCTGGCTCAGCTTGGAAACCTCTCCCTTTCCCCTCAGCATGGCTGACTCAGGAATTCTGGGAGTTGAAGTCCACGAGTCATAAAAGAGCCAAGGTTGCCTCCCCCTGCTCTAGGTCCTTTAATCCTCTTAAGTTGCTCTTCTCTGTTAGATTTCACACACACATACACCAGCACGGAGTCACTGCTCCCTCCCTGCCTTCTGGCTCTCACAAAAACCCAGAATTCCTTTGGAGGACTCAGAAGCAAACAGAGCAGTGTTTTTCAAAATTGGCTGTTTTGAGAAGTGTGGACTTCAACTCCCAGAATCCCCCAGCCAGCCAGGGCTAACAGACTCTTCAAAGCCTGACCCAAGTTTACTGCTGTCCCATTTTATACTAAACCAAATTGAGGCGGGGTTACTTTCCGTTTCTTTCTCCTGCTTCTTTCCTGTCTCTGGACCAATGTGCCTCAATCTTAGGAACTCTACCACTGCTGGCTGGGGAATTCTGGGAGTTGAAGTCCACCCCTCTTAAAGGGGCCGATTTTGAAAAACACTGAAATAATGGCTTAAGCATCACAGAGGTACGATCCTTACGCTGGCCTGACAAATCAGGTAAAGATACCAGGAGCATCTTCTAATGCCCTGTGTAGCATCCTCCTTTGGGAAAAAATACTTGTCAAGTGGATTGGAAGACAGAGATTTGCACAGATTTGGGGAGGGGGGAAGGAAGATGCAGACCTTTTACACTTCTGGAGTCTCTGCTCTCTATCCTTGTGTGCCTTTTACACTCCTCTCTCTTCTCTCTCTCTCTCTCTTCTCCCTCCTCTCTTCTTTCTCTCTCCTTTCTTCTCTGTCTTCTTTCTCTGTCTTCTCTCTCCTCTCTTGTCTTCTCTCTCTCCTCTCTTCTCCCTCCTGTCTTCTTTCTTTCTCTTCTCTTCTTTCTGTCTTCTCTCTCCTATTTTCTCTGCTCTCTTCTCTCTTCTTTTTCTCTCCTTTCTTGTCTTCTTTCTGTCTTCTCTTCCTCTCTTGTCTTCTCTCTGCTCTCTCTCTCTTGTCTTCTCTTTCTTCTCTCTCCTCTCCCTTCTCCCTCCTGTCTTGTCTTCTCCCTTGTCTTCTCTCTCCTTTCTTTCTCCTTTCTGTCTTCTCTCTCATCTTCTCTGCTCTCTCTAGTCTTCTTTCCTCTCTTCTTTTTCTCTCCTCTTTCTTGTCTTCTTTCTGTCTTCTCTTCCTCTCTTGTCTTCTCTCTGCTCTGTCTTCTCTTTCTTCTCTCTCTTCTCCCTCCTCTGTCTTGTCTTCTTCCTCCTCTATCTTCTCTCTCTTCTTTCTCCTCTTTCTTCTCTTGTCTTCTTTCTCTCTGTCTTCTCTCCTCCCTTGTCTTCTCTCTGCTCTCTCTCTCATCTTTCTTCTCTCTCTCCTCTCTGTCTTCTCTCTTTCCTCTCTTCTTTTTCTCCTCTTTCTTCTTTGTCTTTTCTGTCTTCTCTCCTTTCTTGTCTTCTCTCTTGTCTTTTCTTCTCTCCTCTCTCTTCTCCCTCTTGTCTCGTCTTTTCTCTCCTTTCTTTCTCTCTCCTCTTTTGTCTTCTCTCTGCTCTCTCTTCTGTCGTTTCTCTTTCTTCTCTCTCCTCTCTTCCCTCTTCTCTCTCCTGTCTTCTTTCTTTATTCTCTCTCTCTCTCTCTCTCTCTCACACATACACACACACACACACAGAGAGAGAGAGAGAGAGAGAGAGAGAGAGAGAGAGAGAGAGAGAGAGAGAGAGAGAGAGAGAGAGAGAGAGAGAGCATGCTGGTTATTGATGTTGAAGCCTGCTCCCCATGTTGGCCAGTTTAAACTAACCTGTTCTCTATTACAGCTTACAAAGAGGCTCAAAAGAGATTTATCTACCTAAATCCTGGAATATTATTCAACTTCCCCTAATCCAAAACCCTGCTTGTGTCTGATAGCTTTTCACGCTGGCTCTACTGTTCCCTTGCAAGTAGCCTGGAGCCATTCAAACAGCAAGCTGCATGTCAATTACACAAGGAAAATAAAAAATATGGAACAGCGTGCAAGGGACTTCCCCTACCCTCACCCGACAGATCCTTGGCCTTCCACCCCGTTAATTTCCCATTGTCCATTTGTAAATAACATCTCCTTGGCTTTCCACGTTGGACAAGAGTCTGGCCATATGCTGGCAATTCCCCAGACTAGGAAAGCAATCCCAGCCTTGCCAAGAGAAAAGGAAGCCTTGCATTCTCACTTCTGCAATCTTATCCACTTCTTTATTTTGCTGTTGTCTCTGTTCAAATATAACTTTTTTTTAAAGTGCTATTAAAACACATTTGCCAATGAACACAGCGCATGTAAAGAAAACTACATCTCTAATGTCCTAGGACGGGGTAGGCAACCTTGGCTCTTTTATGACTTGTGGACTTCAACTCCCAGAATTCCTGAGCCAGCATTGGGGAAACTATGGCCCCTTCGTGACTTGCAGACTTCAACTCCCAGAATTCCTCAGCCAGCATGAGGGAAATTATGGCCCCTTCATGACTTGTGGACTTCAACTCCCAGAATTCCTGAGCCAGCATGGCTCAGCTTGGAAACCTCTCCCTTTCCCCTCAGCATGGCTGGCTCAGGAATTCTGGGAGTTGAAGTCCACGAGTCATAAAAGAGCCAAGGTTGCCTATCCCGACCTAGGCTGTCAGAATAACACAGTTGGAGGGGACCTCGGAGGTCTTCTAGTCCAACCCCTGCTCAAGGAGAAGGTACAAAGGAGACTCTTTGGATTTTACTCCGCTAGCCCTAGCTACACCTAGGGGGTGGTGCTCATGTCTGTTTCAAGGCCACTGAGCCAGCGCTCTCTGAAGACATTTCCGCGGTCAGGTGACCCGCATGACATCCTGGAGCTCTGTTACCTTCCCAACAAAGTGGTACCTGTTTATCTACTCACATTTGCATGTTTTTGACCTGCTAAATTGGTAGGAGCTGGGGCGAGGATGGGAACTCACCCCGTTGCTTGGCACTTGGGTCTCGAACCCGAGCTGCTGACTTTCAAGCCGACAATCCCAGCATCTTAACCTCTGAATCACCGCAACGCCCCCAAGGAGAAGACCCTACACCAGTGGTGGCGAACCTATGGCACGGGTGCCAGAGGTGGCACTCAGAGCCCTCTCTGTGGGCACACGCACCGTCCCCCCAGTCCGAGGCCTTCAGCTGGGTTTTATAAAACCTTTTTGCTTTAGCCTTCCGCTGCCGTGTACAAAAAAAAAAAAAAAGGTTCAATCTATCAGTCAATTTCAACTTCTTGCGGGAAAAAAGAAGATCTTGCAAAGTTGGAATTGATTGATTGAACTTTTTAGTCCCACCCAGTCTGCTGTTATGACCGCAGCCACGCCTACCCAATTGGCCAAACCCACCTAGCACCCGACGATGCATAAGTGAGTTTTGGATTGCAGTTTGGGCACTCGGTCCCTAAAAGGTTCGCCATCACTGCCCTACACTATTTAAGACCAATAGTTATCTAATTTCTTAAAAACCTCCAGTGTTGGAGCACCCGCAACTTCTGGAGGCAAGTCGTTCCGTTGATTAATTGTTCTAATTGTCAGGAATTTTTTCCTTAGTTCTAGGTTGCTTCTCTCCTTGATTAGTTTCCACCCGTTGCTTCTTTATCATGCTTTGGAGAATAGGTTGACCCCCTCTCCTTGGAGGCAGCCCCCTTAAAATATTGGAAGATAGCTATCAAATTGGAAAGTTGCTCTTCGTTAGACTAAACTAGGGGGTCTCCAAACTTGTCAACTTTAAGACTTGTGGACTTCAACTCCCAGAATTCCTCAGCCAGCCATGCTGGCTGAGGAATTCTGGGAGTTGAAATCCACAAGTCTTAAAGTTGACAGGTTTGGAAGCCCCTGGACTAGACAAGCTCTCTAGTCACGCCTCTTTTTTTCCGTGTTCTTACAAATCTCTCGATTCTGGGAATCTGGAGGAAAGCCGTGTTCATTTGTGACGGCCAACACTTCGAACGTAATTTGAGGAAAAGGCAGACGTTTCCATACGTTAAACCGTTTTTGTGTCTGGTGAAAAGGGCAGCCGTTGATGAAACCCTAAGACCTTTTCATCAAAAAGGAGAGGGAGTCAAGCTATTCTCCAAAGCATCTGAAAGCAGGACAAGGAGCAACGGAATGGAAACTGATCAAGGAGAGTGTTCTGTCCCAGCCTACGTGAGTCCTGGTTATGCTCACCCCTCTTCCAAGAAACAGGCAGGAACCACAAAAAAAAAAAAAAAAAAAAAAACCAGCCCTTTTTATTCTCACAGACCTGAGTCACTGTCCAAGGCAAAAAAACACACAATCCACAGAAACTCGATTCTCAACACGAATGGTTGCCTTTGACAACCAGCACCTCCCACACTTCCCTTTTATAACTCAGCCCAGGCGTGGCTTCCTAATGCCTTCTCCTTTGCCTTTGGAGCTGCCCCATTGCATTCCTCTGTCCTACTCGCTTCTCTTTCCTGCACATTCGTGCATCGGGGATTTGCCCCAGCTGTTCTTCATCACAGTCCAACTCAGGCTCCCAGTATAGCTGTGTCTCAGCCTGAGCACGAGTAGAGGGGCCAGGCTCCTCGTCCGACTGTAAGTCTTGGAGCTCCTCAGAGCCTTCCTCTGACTCTGATGTCACTCCAGGCCCTTCCTCCTCATTTGAGTCCTCAGACTCAGCTGCCGGATCCACCAGCTGGCGAGGAATCACAACAGAGAGAAGCAACCTAGAATTAAGGAGAAATTTCCTGACAGAACAATTAACCAGTGGAACAACCTGTCTCCAGAAGCGGTGAATGCTCCAACACTGGAACTTTTTCAGAAGAGACTGGACAATTATTGGTCTGAAATGATATACAGGGTCTCCTGCCAGAGCGGGGGGTTAGACTAGATGACCTCCAAGGTCCCTGCCAACATCATCATCATCATCAAATGTGTTTGTCAGGATTTCATAATGGGCTGCCTTAGCCGAGCCTTTCTCACCTGCTGGGCTGCCAAAGTCATCCATCACGGCCTCCACCAGGCCCAAGATGTAGAGGGCACTGCCGCAAACATTGGCAAAGAAGAACATGATGCCGATGCTTCCACCGAATTCGGGGCCCAATGCCCGGCTGATCATGTCTGTGCCAAGCGGGTCAAGGACTAAAGAATGTCGCTACCTTGGGGAGACCAGGAAGGGGAGAAATTGGGGTTCCCCATTCCCTGTCAGGTGAGAATCCCAACCTTTGTCTATGGAGATTCTCCATAGACAAAGGGAGGGAGGGAGGGAGGAAGGAAGGAAGGTAGGAGTGGTGGGATTCAAATATGTCAACAACCAGTTCTCTGCATGGATGCCACTTCCGGAAGATCATTCTGGGCCTGGGCAACCAAAAATTAGCTACCAGTTCTGCCGAAGTGGTGCGATCTGCCTGAATCCTACCACCGGGAGGGAGGGAGGGAGGGAGGGAGGGAGGGAGGAAGGAAGGAAGGAAGGAAGGAGGAAGGAAGGAAGGAAGGAAGGAATGATTCAAATATGTCAACAACCGGTTCTCTGCATGGATGCCACTTCCAGAAGTCGATTCTGGGCCTGGGCAACCAAAAATTAGCTACCGGTTCTGCCAAAGTGGTGCGAACTGCCTGAATCCTACTACTGGAAGGGAGGGAGGGAGGGAGGGAGGGAGGGAGGGAGGAAGGAAGGAAGGAGTGATGGGATTCAAATATGTCAACAACCAGTTCTCTGCGTGGATGCCACTTCCGGAAGTCCACTCTGGGCAACCAAAAATTAGCTACCAGTTCTGCCGAAGTGGTGCGAACCGGCTGAATCTCACCACTGGGGGGAATGGCTGTTTTGAACAATTTGGGGCTTTGTGTGCGAAGGATACAGTAGGCCCCGCCAGCATCCAGAGCCCCGTTGGTAGAGATGGCACACACCGACAGCACTGTCATACCGATGATGAAGTAGGCCACCAAGAACATCGCCAGGGATTGGTATAAACCTGCCTGACCCACCACGAAACCTGTAAAAGGAGAAGGAAGAAAAACAATAGATAATGTTTTACCTCAACGTTGTTTCCCCTTTTTCTCTAAGGCAGTGTTTCCCAACCTGGCCCACTTGAAAACGTGTGGACTTCAACTCCCAGAAGTCCCCAGCCAGGAATTCTGGGAGTTGAAGTCCGCACATCTTCCAGGTTCCTCAATTTCCCCTACGGGTCCATCCTCAATTTACAACTACAGTTGAGCCAGCCATTACTGGTGCTAAGCAAGACGGTTGTTAAGTACGCCATTTTGTAACCTACCTTGCCACAGATATTAAGTGAATCACTTCAGTCATTAGTTGTTGAAGTGAATCTGGATTTCTCTCCCCCCCCCACACCTTGACTTTGCTTGTTAGAAGGTCACGTGAAGTGTTAAATACCACTTTACAAGGCCTTGGTAAAGCCACACTTGGAATCCTGCATCCAGTCTTGGTCCCCAAGGTGTAAAAAAGAGGTTGAGACTCTAGAAAGAGTACAGAGAAAAGCAACAAAGATGATTAGGGGACTGGAGGCTAAAACATACGGCTGCTGGAATTGGGTATGTTTAGTTTAATGAAGAGAAGGACCAGGGAGGACCTGATAGCAGCCTTCCAATCTCTCAGGGGCTGCCACAAAGAAGAGGGAGTCAAGCTATTCTCCAAAGTGTCTGAAGCAGCGGTTCTCAACCTTGGGGTCGAACGACCATTTCACGGGGGTCGCCAAACAACGCGATCCGCTATTTTTTCCGCCATTTTTTCCCCTTTTCCTTAGCTCTCCTACTCCCTCTTATTCTATTGGCTTTTGAAAGCCAATAGAATAGACCCTCTTGAATAGAGTCTAATTCTATTGGCTTTCAAAAGCCAATAGGAATTGTTCAGGCTGTCTCTGCCCTGCTGAGCCCACCAAAAGCCCCAGTCTGCAAACGATGCTGCAAGGCGAACTTTCTGGAAAGCTTCCCTCCCTGCTGAGCAACTATTAAAAGTAAGTAAAAGAGGGCCAGGGGTGGGAGGTGGGAGGCAGGCGGGCGCAGGGAGGGTTGCTGGCGGGTGCCTTACCTGCCTTGGGCTGGGCCAGCTGGTGGCCCAGCCGGTGGTTGCCCTGCCTGCCGCCGCCCCTTGCCGGCTATGCCTCAGCCGGCGTAGGGGGCGGCACCACACATGCGCGGCGCGTGCTTACGACCGGGGTCGCCGGTATAAAAAGGTTGAGAACCACTGGTCTGAAGGAAGGACAAGAAGCAACAGATGGAAACTAATCAAGGAGAGAAGCAACCTGGAACTAAGGAGAAACTTCCTGACAGTGAGGACAATTAACCAGTGGAACAACCTGCCTCCAGAAGCGGTGAATGCTCCAACACTGGAAGTTTTTAAGAAGAGACTGGACAGCCATTTGTCCGAAATGGTATAGGGCAGTGGTGGCGAGCTTATGGCACGGGTGCCAGAGGTGGCATTCAGAGCCCTCTCTGTGGGCACTCGCACCATCGCCCCAGCCCCGCCTCCCCCCATGGCCCCATCCTCACCAGCAGCCCCCCGGAAGAGAGTCGCCCTCGAGCATGGCCCACGCGGAGCAGTGCAGCCAAGGACATGGCAGCCGGGTAGCAGGGACATGACTCCGCCCTTGCGCCCTGTCATGCGCAGTTGATGCTGCGGGGGGCAGGTGGAAGGCGTGGCTGCCATAACACTGCTGGGCTGCCTGGGTGGTCTGCGGCAGGCCGTAGAGGCGATGGATGGCCCTGCGGGTCGCGGCAGAGCTGGGGTGGAGGGGGCAGGGGTGGGAGGCAGAGCAGGGGCAGGTGGGGGTGGCTGGGAGGGGCCAGTTTTGGGGCACTCGGTCTCTGAAAAGTTTGCCATCAATGATATAGGGCAGGGGTAGGCAACCCAAAACACTCAAAGAGCCACTTGGATCCGTTTCCCACCAAAAACAAAACACCGGGAGCCGCAAAATCCTTTTGATATCTAAAATGAAGATAACACTGCATATATCCTTTTTTACCTTTATTATAGGTGTGTGTGTGTGTTTGTGTGTTTGTATATATGTGTGTGAGTGTGTATATGTATGTATACACACATACACACACACACACATATATATATATACACATACATACACATACAGGTAAAAAAAGGATATATGCAGTGTTATCTTCATTTTAGATGTCAAAAGGGTCTCTCTCTCTCTGTCTGTCTCTCTCTCTCTCCCTCTCTATCTGCCCTTGGTCTGCCTGCCACTCCTCTTCCCACACTCTCTTTCTTTCTCTCTCTCTCTTTCCTCTCTCTCTCTCCCTCCCTCCCTCCCTCTCTCCCTTTCTCTCTCTCTCTCCTATCTGCTGCTCACCTGGCAAGCTTCAAGCTGTTGTCCAACAAGCTCAGGGTAAGCAACCTCGTCTCTTTTATGACTCATGGACTTCAACTCCCAGAATTCCTGAGTCAGCCTAGCTGGGCTAGCTAGCTCTCTCCTGCCCTTCCTGCTTCCTGCTTCCTACAGAGACGCAGCAAAGGGAGGAGCTCCGTCCAGAAAGCTTTTCAGCTCCTCGGAGAAGGCTGTGAGTGCAATCTTTTACACACACACACACACACACACACACAAACACACACACACACACACACACACACAGAGAGAGAGAGAGAGAGAGAGAGAGAGAGAGAGAGAGAGAGAAGCGCAATTGCCTCTCTCTGTCTCTGTCTCTCTCTGCAAAGGCAGAGGAGGCTGGGAGCCACCGGGGAAGGCTCAAAGAGCCGCATGCGGCTCCGGAGCCGCAGGTTGCTGACCTGTGGTATAGGGTTTCCTGCCTGAACAGGGGGTTGGACTAGATGACCTCCAAGGTCCCTTCCAACATTATTATTATTATTATTATGGAACATCGCACAGTCAGCCAGATGTTCAGACTGGATTTGGCATTTTGTCTACCTATCGAGTCCTTACCCAGGACCTGGGATAGGCAGATGTGGATGTTTGATGGTATTACAGGTATCGTTGCAGGATGGAAGCAGTTCCTAGTAAGGCCGCCTTTTGCAATTGACTAATAGCGAATTTGTTGTTGTTGTTATTATTATTATTATAAAAGGGGATCACGTGATCCCGGGACGCTGCAACTGCCATAAGTACGAGTCAGTTGCCACACGTCTAAATTTTCATCACGTGACCCCGAGGAGGCTGCAACGGTCATAAGTGTGAAAAATGGTCATGTCACATTGTTTTCAGTACTTTGAATGGTCACTAATCAAACTGTTGTTAAGACAAGGACTTCCTGTACGGTTATTTCCGAAACTGGTGTCACCCCACCTTCTAACTTAGGCATGGAGAAATGAGTGGGTTTTTAATCACGAACTCCCCTTTACAATTATTTTCTGTCTGAAAGGCCTATTTTAGAATTCCTCTTCCTCCTTTTTTGAAAGAAGTGAGCTTCTTTTAAACTTCCCCTGAGCTTTCGGTACCTATTTCTTATTCCGATGATAAAGGTTTAACTTCCCTGCGATGTGTTTCACAACTTAAGGCGGCTCTTTATCTGACTTTTCTATAGTCTGATTTCCAGGACTCTCCCAAAGAGGACGATGACTGAGGAGCGGGGGATTTTTTTTAAATTCTAAATTACCAAGAAGTGAAAAAGGAGACAGAATGGCTGGGAGGAAATTTATGTGGGGAATTCAGCTTTGGAGACCTGCTAAGCTAGAGACGGTAGAGAAGGGAGCAACTAAACAGGCAGGTCCGACTAACAGAAGACTAACAGAATAACTGAGTTGGAAGGGACCTTGGAGGTCATCTAGTCCAACCCCCTGCTCAGGCAGGAAACCCTACACTATTTCAGACAAATGGCTGTCCAGTCTCTTCTTAAAACATCCAGCGTTGGAACATTCACAACTTCTGGAGGCAGGTTGCTCCACTGGTTAATTGCTCTCAGTGTCAGGAAATCTTTTTCTTAGATAGTTCTAGGTTGCTTCTCTCCTTGATTAGTTTCCATCCGTTGTTTCTTGTCCTGCCTTCTGGTGCTTTGGAAAATAGCTTGATTCCCTCTTCTTTGGGGGAGCCCCTGAGATATTGGAAGACTGCTATCATGTCAGCCCTCGTCCTTCTTTTCATTAAACTACTAGACATACCCAGTTCTTGCAACTGTTCTTCATATCTTTTAACCTCCAGTCCCCTGATCATCTTTGTTGCTCTTCTCTGCACAGTTGTGTGGCCAGCAATTGGAGGGGTTTTGAGGGTTTTTTTTAATTACTAAGATATTTTGCCAATTTCCACAGAAATGGATAGAACTTAGTCCTCGACTTATGAGCCCAATTGAGCCCCAAATTTCAGTCACTAAGCAAGACCGCTGTTAAGTGAGTTCTGCCCCATTTTACGACTTTTCTTTGCAATTGTTATGTTACTGTATGTCCCTGAAAATAAGACTGGGCCTTTTTTTTGGGCCTCCAAAAGAGGCACCAGGTCTTATTTTCAGGGTAGGCCTTACCTCACCTCTGGCACTCACAGCCCCACCCAGCTGGACCACTTCTTCTGGGGCCGAAGTTCTGCAGCTGCATTCAGGCCTGCATTTAGCAGTCAGGCCTTTCCAGAAGTCCTAAGCAGCCGAATACCGAGCTATGGATTCAATCTATAACTCGGTGCTCGGCTGCTAGGTCTTGCAGAAGCAAAGTAGGGATTGAATCCATAGCTCAGTTCTTCGCTGCAAAAATCTTCCAGAAAGCCCCGTGACTGAGAAATGCAGGCCTGGCTGTAGACGAGGCCTCAGAAGAAGTGGGCTGGCGAGGAGAGGCCTGGCTGCAAATCAAGCTAGGGTTTATTGTTGGTGTAGGCCAGGGGTAGGCAACCTTGGCTCTTTTATGACTCGTGGACTTCAACTCCCAGAATTCCGAGCCAGCCTGGCTCAGCATGGAAACCTCTCCCTTTCCCCTCAGCATGGCTGGCTCAGGAATTCTGGGAATTGAAGTCCACGAGTCATGAAGGGACCATAGTTCCCCCATGCTGGCTCAGGAATTCTGGGAGTTGAAGTCCACGAGTCACGAAGG